GCATAAAAATTTCAATTTTCAACATAAAAACAATAGTGATGCAATTAATGCGCTTCTAAACCTAAACTGATGTAAAAAAAAAAAAAAAAAAAAAATCAGCGTAATATAATTTTAATTTAGTTAGTTAGAGACTTTGAAACAATATACGAAAAAATAATTTCATATATTCTCACATTTTAAAATACAGTTTTGTCCACTATCTGGCCCACTGTGCAATATGATAGTATAAATTAATGACGTTTAGATTTTGGAGCTTCACAATTTAATTTTTCCCCAGTGCCCCGTGCCAACTTGGAGCGGCCCTGTATGGAAAATCACAAGTATCGAGTAAACAAAAGAAAAAAAAAAATTAATAAAATACATAATTGAAAGTTTAATTAAGTATAAATAAAACTAACATGCTATGAATTAGATAAAACTTTATAAGAGTTAACAATAGTTTAATCTTATAAAGATGAATAATAAAATAAATAACAGTTATAAATAAATAAAGGTAGATAATAAAATAAATAACAATTATAAATAAATAAAGATAGATAATAAAATAAATAACAATTATAAATAAATAAAGATAGATAATAAAATAAATAACAATTATAAGTAAATAAAGGTAGATAATAAAATAAATAATAATTATAAATAAATAAAGATAGATAATAAAATAAATAACAACTATAAATAAATAAATGTAGATAATAAAATAAATAATAATTATAAATAAATAAAGATAGATAATAAAATAAATAACAATTATAAATAAATAAAGGTAGATAATAAAATAAATAATAATTATAAATAAATAAAGATAGATAATAAAATGAATAATAATTATAATAGTACTTTTTATTAGGAATAAACAAAAAAATAAAGATTGAAAGTGAAATCAAATGAAAAGATATAATAATTTTAAGACTTTTACTTGACTAAATTGTCTTTTAATCGATTAATAGGATGCTTATAGTCAATTAAATAGACTATTCGATTTTTCAAGGTCGACTAATTTCGACCTTCGACTAGTCGACTTTTAGTCGATTTAGTCAAAGTCGATACCAACACTAAAGTTTATAACACAACTTTCTTTTTAAATTAAAATTTCATTTGAAAACTAATTAAAGTTTTTTAAGATTGTGAAGAAAATTTTTCAGAAAACTTGAACTTTATTACTGTACCATTCTTATAGAAAGTAAAAAAAACCACCAACAAATAAGCAACCATTTTTTTATCGAGTTTAAATGTAGAAATTATAATAAAGTTAAAAATTAAAAAAAATTGGATATGGCAGTGAAAAATCCAGGACCAAAAAAGTATGTTTATATATACAATTATATAAATAAAATCCTCAATTAATTAAAATACATTTAATACTTTTTTTAAACAACTGACACACATAAAAATTGGACGAATTATTGCAAAAGAAGAGCCTCGCAAAAGCATTGGAAAGCGTTTCAAACAATAAAACTTAACCAATAATATTTTTGTGAAGAAATGTAAACTACGACTAGAGATAAATAGTTCCATTTTGCCGACTATCTAAAAAAAGTTTCCAATTTTGACGCCTGAAAAAAACGCCGAATAATGATGTCAATATTCATTGAATAATGATGATACACACCCCCACACCCCTTCGCGCTGGTTATGTTATAGACAGTTAGCTTTAGAGGTACGCAAAAAACAAAAAATACAATGGTTAATTACTTAATTACTAATACAGCTAAACCTTCAAAATAATATTATAAATTCAAATTTCTTTTCTTTATATATAATATATTATAATACCATACAGATTTTAATATTTGTTAATATATAAAAATATATTTTTTTCAAATTTTTCTTAAATTAAAAGTAATTGAGACGTTTTCAATATATATATATATATATATATATATATATATATATATATATATATATATATATATATATATATATATATATATATATATATATATATATATATATATATATATATATATATATGTATATTTATATATATATATATATATATAAATATATATATATATATATATAATTATATATATATATATATTTATATATATATATATATATATATATATATATATATATATAAATATATATATGAATATAATTATATATATATATATTTATATATATATATATAAATATACATATATATATATATATATATATATATATATATATATATATATATATATATATATATATATATATATTATACATTAACAAATAATAAAATCTATATGCTATAATAATATATTATATATAAAGAAAAGAAATTTGAATTTACAATATTATTTTGAAGGTTTAGCTGTATTAGTACTTAATTAACCATTGTTTTTTTGATTTTTGCGTATATATATATATATATATATATATATATATATATATATATATATATATATATATATATGTATGTATGTATAGGGCCGCCGCGAGTAGGTGTCACGTGGGGTAGGTGGGGGGGGTGCCATTACATTTTGCCGACTAAAAAAAAAAGGTCCTCGTTTTACAAAATTTGCCCACTGCCATGACGACATTTGCCGACTGTCTAGATTACCGACTAACCTATATCGAAAGGATCGACATTTGCCGACTAACTTGTCTAAAAGGGTCCAATTTGCCGACTGAAAATTATTGATGGGGGGGGGGGGGGGGGGGAGGTCACCCCTCCCCCCCCCCCCCCACACCCCCTTACCCCCCTATCGCGCCGACCTTATATATATATATATACAGGCCCATAGGATCAAAAGTTATACAAGGGGGCAGTGCTGGATTAAGGAGCATCGAAATAGTTTTAAGAATATATATTCTATAGGTCATATTCTTGTTTACGATATGTTAATATAAATATTTAAGTTAATTTGAATAAAAAAGGTGGTAACTATTTTAAAATACATTTTGATATAATAATATATTAACGATATTTGGGGTGAGCGTCACCAGGTACTGATAAAACGTTACAAAATAACAAAAACAAACCGTTTAAAAAGAAGACAAAAGCGTAAAAAAAAAAAAAACCAATTAAATAATATATTAACAACATCAGTTAAATTTTTGTCAAAATGGGTCCCCAAGTTTTTGTTTTAACATTATCCCCGTCATCTTAATTTAGAGCAGATTTGTTTTTCTCTACATAAAAATCCTTTAAAGACGCCAGTGGTTGTTATGCTTAGGTTGATGTTGGAGTTTGGCTTTATTTAAACATTTGTTATCGCATCTTTACGGTGTACTTGAAACTTATAAAATCCATTCATTGTATTTGTAATACAAATATTTAAAAATTTTCTTTTGTTTTCAAGTTCAACAATCACAAGTTCAATAATTTTAAGTTCAACAATTAAAAGTTAAAATTTCAAGTTTACCAATTTAAAGTTTTAAAAAATTGTTCTTAAATCGAAGCAAGCATGGCAAATCATCCTCATATCTTTTGTAAGTTATTGGTTGGAATGAATTAACAAAAGCAATATTAAGGGCTCTTTTTTCTATACTTTTCAAAAATGCTTCAGCTATAACTACTATCAAAGATAAACCAATTGGACCTGAATTAGGTAAAATTTGGATTTTATCTTAAAAAATAATATTTGCTTAATAAAAGTTCAATTAACTGGTGTATATCTACAAGAGTTAATTTAGTCCTATTTTTTAAATCGTCAAAACCATTTTTTAATATGTTATCAATAACAGGAATTGCTTCATCGATTGGTACGGATAGATATTAATTAACTAAATTGAATGAAACCTGAATTTCATTAGAGCTTATCTTCCATTCTTACATTTATAGAGGAAAATAACAGCTTTCCAGTAGCAGGGGAGGATGGGTAGTAGTTAGCCACGGATAGGTGTGAATTATTGATCCTATATATAGAACGCCCTTAAAAAAGACCCCAACTTTCTCAAACAAATTAATGTTTAGATTATCCAATTTTTTAACGGTTCTTGTCGCAAGTTAAAGTTAGCGTTGTTAGCGGTTTTTACTTAACGTTTTACTTACGTTGTTAACGGTTCTTGTCGCAAGTTATAGTTACCTATGTTAGCGATTTTTACTTTTTTTTGTCTAAAAGTAAAGTTTTTGTACTAGTTGAAAGTAAAGTTTTTGAATTGGTTGAAATTTAATAACTAATAAACCAATGTAGTATTTATAACAAAGTTTTTTTTTTTTCTGCATAAACCTTGTACTCGTGCATAAACCTCGTACGCATTAAATATTTTAACCCAGTTGCAAAGCTTGGAGAATAATAAACTTTAGAATGTGGTTATTCCAATATTGACCGTAAAGCCATCTTTTAACCATCCATGGAGTAATACAATGCAGCATACAAATAGACTTTCATTAACTTATACTTCAAGATTTGGTTCCAAATCTTTATATATACTTTATACTTTATAGAACTTGATATCTGTAGAATCTACTAATACTACTCATGGATTCTCATAGAACTTACAGTTGTATAAAGTTAGCTACTTTAATTGGCTGGCCTTGGGTTTGATGCAAGAGCGTAGTGCGTAGAGTATCTCAATAAAGATATTTTACACATTACTCCGTAGTAATGTCTATCATCAAGCTCACAGATGATATCTTCTTTTAATGTTTTTATGTGAAATATATCTGTTAGAAAGTTGAGTTTCAACACTAAATTTTTATCAATAAAAAAACCTCTAATAGGTTTTTTGCTATTTTTTTTTCAGAACTTTTTACAATTTCCATTTTAACTCTTCTATCTTTAATAGGAACATTTGCTCAACATTTCAGGCGTTAATTACTTTGTTTTGGATTAAAAAAGGAATTGTTTTAATAAGGCTTTAAAAAGGATGAAATCAAAAAAGTTGTTGCTTTTGATGAGTTATTTTATTTTTATTTTGTTTTTTTCCGCAACCAAAATATACCATGTTGTTTTTTAATATTACTAATATCCATCTAATACTAATATCTAGACAGTAATACAAAAAAATTCAAATATAAATTATATAAGGCTTCATTTAAAACAAAAATTGTATTGTAAATCAAATTATACTTTGGTCAATTGTAGGGCGACAGTAATGAATTTAGCAAGCATTTGGTTTATGGCAACCATAGAAAAAATTGATTATAAATTGATTATAAAAATATAGGCTGTTGTTATTCTATAACAACAGTGTTTTATTGTGTCGTTATGTTTTACAAATAAAGTCTATATCACGTAGAAATTCACAAATCTTACAATAAGAAATATGCAAACGAAAAATCAGAATATATTACGCTTGAAATAAATTGGAAACTATGTTAAAATTATGCCGACAACAAAAATTTTAAATTAAAACACCTGCAAACTTATAATTGAAATAAAACAATTAAAAAAAAACAATTCTTAGCTAATGCAATAAAATAATTCTAGTTTTACAAATGCGGAGAAAAAAACAAAAGCAAGTTTTCGAGAAAGGTAAATTCCGTGAAAAATTAAACACCGTAAATAAATAAAGTAAACAAATGTAACTAAAATTTCATTTATTTGTTTAACAAGGTATAGTTTATGTTTAAAGTTTAGCAAGGTATAAGTTACTAAAAGTTATTAAAAGTTTGAAAGGTTACAACAAAGTCCTTAGAAAAGTTACTAAATTCAAAAAAAATTTTTTTTTTTTTTGATGGAACACAGGTATACTAGTCCGTCTTAAAATAGTCCTAAAAGATGTACTATAATTTGTTGAAATGATTAGGTCGAATATTTAGGGGCAATTCTATGAATAAAATGAAGGTAGACGAGGGGGAGAAAAAGAGAGCGCAAATCAAAAGAACCGTCAGCTTTCTGAAAAAAAGTCTTCAAAATAAAAAATCACCAGAATGAAATGTGTTAAATGCTCGACTAACCGACAATAATCTACAAAAAAATCCCTGTAACCTGAAGTTCACCTTTTTCAGGGAAGAATTTTTTTTAAGAAACTTTTCCCCACCCCCGTAGACTCGCCCCTGGTATTATCTAGTTTCTATAACTCACCAACCTGAAAATATATAAATAAGACAAATTATATATAATAGTTCATATTCGCGCTGGTCTGACGATGATTGTCCTTACACAGCTTTTTTTCAAGAGTTCAAATTGTAAAGTATCTGCCGTTACTAGCGTCGGATATTCTCTTAGTAAACGCAAATTGCTTTTTAAATTTAATCAAAAAATAAATAAAAAATTACAAACTTATTTTTGTTACAGCACCGCTACTAACTTATTTATTAGGATTTTTGTTTATTTCCTTAAAAATAAACATGGATTTAAAAGCAGCTTTAAATCTTTTATTTCCCAATGCGTAACAAAAAGGATTTACTAGAGAGTTAATGTAACAAAACAAAAATCCAAAATTCCATAAAGGAGCTGTAACACAGGTGTTACAAAACGTTGAGATAACTGAAAACGCATTGAAAGGAAGCCAGGTGATTGCGTATGCAAGGATAATTAGAATTAATAACTTTTTTATTCTGTCGTAGTTTTTATACTTTATTTTTGGTAGAGTCTGACAAGCCTGGCTTAATACTTTATTGTTTGCAGTTGAATCAACCTCAAGACAAGTATTTGATTGGGTAACAGAATCGCAGCTAACCGAGGTAACAGTTAAATCGCTAAAATAGTTTGGAGCTTTAACTCTATCAACGGTACGCTTACGTTTTTGCAAAAAAGTATACATTCTAATATACATATAGAACATTGTTAACAATGGAACGTAATAGGCAGATAATGAGGTAAAAATTGTCAAGAAAACACTGTCAGTAAGAAATTGAATATAACACTTATCCACGGGAACATCTTGTTTACTAACAATATATTGGTAAGATATTATCCACGGTACCCAAAGTACAAACGACAAAAACCATACAAAAAATATAACATACTTTAGACGTAAATTTCGTACTGGTCTGTAAATTAAAGGAACTCTAATCAAAAAATATCTATCAACTGATATAACAATTAAATGGGCTACACTTGCTTGACTGCACCAATAATCTGTTGATAGCCAAAATTTACATGCAATTTTACCCAACGGCCAATAACCGTAGACCAAATAAACTGTATAAAAATTTATAGAAATTGCACTTATCCAAGTGTCTGCTACTGCTAATGACAATATCAACCAATTTGAAGCAGTTCGAAGACTCTGATTTTTGATATAAGCAATAAAAACACAAATGTTTGCAGTTGTCGCAATAAAACTAATAAGTGTGAGTCCAAACACCACGAAGCCTAACTCCGTGTTACTAAAGCGAGAATTTAATAGTTTAGAATTGTTAGCCACATTTTTAACTAGCATTTTTAACATTGAAAACCAACATAACTGTTACAGAATAAGTTAAGAAATAAGATATTTTATTTGCAAAACCATGTTACAAATAAAACAAACTATTTAATGTTTTTAAATCAAAACTAATTCATTTTAAAGACACGTTTTCTATTATTAAAATTTGAAAACAAATAAACATTTAAAACCGAAAAAAAAAATGCGGAGAACAAACATTTACATTTCATGTTCAACCAAAAGCACCTGTTGAAAAAGTCTCACTATTATACTGCAATATAAAATTAAGTTATCAGTTTTTATTTTAACCACAAACTTATTTAAAAATAGATTTTAAGAAGATTATTTGAATCTTTTTAAAGTTCTTTACATTAAAATTTAACCTTATGCAAAAATGAATACGTGTTTAGAACTCTTCTGACTGTTTTTTTTTTTTTTCATCCTCACTTCTAAAACGGCTGCAACATCCACTATTAGAGTTGGAAATTACTGGAAGAGAAAAGATGAAGTTTATAAATCAATATAACGATTAAAGGACGAATTCAAAAATAACAAATGAATCAGAAAAACAAGAAGAAGAGAGCAAATACAAAAGAACTGTTCGAAAAGAAATGCTCGAGAAAAAATACAAGACTAATAAGAATTTTGGAGCACCTAGAAACAGTCAAAGTAAAAAGATGGGACTTAATTGAATTATGAGTAACACGCAAATGAATTTTTTCGATTGCACAAGAGACGCTAGCTCTTTAGTGCAGTGCCCATTAAAATATTTATAGAAAAGAGAAAGGGAAGCAACATTAAAACTATGTGACAAAGGTTGAACTTTGGCTGCAAGTGCAGGTCTAACTATGTTTACAATGCGTTTTTGCACCTTGTCTAAAAGAGAAAGGGCATCATTAGAAGATCTAATGATGCCCTTTCTCCGCTCCAGGATATGGCAACAGTATTCCATACAAGGACAGGTTTGCCATATAAAATAAAGAATTGAATCCGGAGTAAGAAAGTGGCGAGTACAATAAAGAGATGCAACCTTAGCAAGTGCTAATTTTGCAATGGATTTAATATATGGTTTCCAAAAAAATTAAAAGTAAGAGTTTATCCTAGATGACGAAGAGTAGATGACTCATTGAATACATTATCATTCATAATCATAGAAAGATCAAGATTTTAGAGATAACAATCAACAGAAATAAATTTATATGAGTTAAAGTTCACCAGCCACTGAGAGTAGGGTTTCTAAATTTAACGACTTTTAAATTTACTGGTAATTCGGTAAATAAAAGTTGTAATACCGGTAAATCGGTAAATTACCGATAAACTTTACATATCAATAAATCAATACAACTTTTAAAAAATACCGTTTTTCAAAAAGCAGCTTCGTAGAAAGCTTAAGCTATCCAATGTCTTGTCTCCTAATTGATCAATTAGGAGACAAGATAGATATTACAACTCGCGAGTTCTAATATTTATACAAATTAGCCCAGTTACTCTTTCAAGTTTAACACTTGTCGCATGAATGGTCATTATATATTCAAAAACTATTTGAAATGTACTTCCCTCGTATATTTTTTTTGTAGAAAGTACTCTAACTCTTTTTTCATAACTTCTTTTAGACTTTTCGTGTTACTTTCTTTTAAAACAGTTATCTCTTCATTCTTGTGCGTTTGTTTTTAAGAGAAAATAATGAATCTTTTCCTTCATAGAAAAATCAGTATTTGGTTTAACAGTAATCAGGTCGTTATTTAAATTCATCTGATTCTTTAAATACTCTCACCAGTTTTTTTTTTTTATTGTTTATTTTGCCGTTTAATAATATACAGTTTCAAAGCGTATAAATAAAAATAAATAATGGCGGGGCAAGAAGAAGACTAATTTAGCCTTATCACCGAGCCCCATTCTCACGTATTTACAAAAACCGTAATATTTAAATATCTATAGTTAACAAACTATTTATTAAAAAAAGAAAAATATAAAAGTAAAATAGATAAAAATTCGTTGTCATTTAAAGAAAAAATAAAAAGAATCAAAATTTAAGGAAAGAGTAAGATCAAGTGAAAAAAAATAAATAAATAAAATATTATCATTTGCTTAAAACTTAAAAGTTTAAACTAAGATTTAAAAATAAAAAGTGAAAAAAAAAAAAAAAAAAAAAAAAGTATACCATAGAAATAACAAAAATAAATTAGTATACTTAATAGAAATAACGTAAATAAATTAGCAAACGCCATAGAGGTAATACCATAATTAAGGTAATGAAAAAATAATATTGATACACTCAGTGACATAATTTTAGTATTAATAATTTTTTGTATTTGAGTTTTAGTTAAAAAAACATTTAAAATCAGATATATTAAAATCCATGAGTAAGAATGCCTGTTTTGATTCATTTTTAAATTGTTCTATACAAGTTTTATGTGTATTTACAATCTTGGGAAACATTTTCCACAAGTAAGGTCCACGATAAAGAACTGAATATGAAGTTAGTTTTGAATTATATTTTGGGACAACAAAGTTGTTATTTGAAAATTTTGTTGGATATTTATAAACTATTTTGTCAAAATAGGATTGAAATATTTTAGGAGATAATCCTATATTTGTTTTATACATGAACATTAAAACTTGGTGTAAGTTGATTTTATATATATTTAGTGCTCCAAGTATACGCAAAAGGGGCTCACAAGGTACAGTTCTGTCAGCTCCAAATATTGATCTGCACGCGTGTTTTTGTTTGCAGTACAATTTTTTTAATTTTGTATGGTTTGTACTTGCCCATGCAATATACCAATAAATTAAGTAACAATGAATAAAAGAGAAATATAAACTTTTTAAAGAATTATTGTTTAAAAATGGTTTAGTCCTATATATCATTGCTAAACTTTTTGATATTTCATTTTCAATACTTTTTATGTGTAAATTCCAACGTAAATGTTCATCTAAGATTACGCCTAGAAAGTTTACTGAGTTTTCTCTTTTAATGTTAGTGTTATTGATTATTAAATTAGGCAACTTGATGGGAATATTTTTTGAATTATACACTTTGTGGAACAAAATAAATTTGGTTTTATCCACATTCAGAGAAAGTTTATTTTTTTTAAACCACTCATTAACTTTCGATAATTGTTCGTTTGTTGTTTTAAATAGTGTATTGATATCTCTGTGGGAATAAAAAAGATTGGAATCATCTGCGAAAACAATACAATTTAATAGGTCTTTTGCTAAATTTAAATCATTAATGTACACTAGGAACAACAGAGGTCCTAAAATAGAGCCCTGGGGAACCCCACAAGTTATAGCAGACAGCAATGTTTGCTTTTGTTCATACACTATAAATTGTTTTTTATCAGTCAAATAACTTTTGAACCAAAGTAAATTGTTATTTCTTACTCCATAGTGTTCAAGTTTTTTTATTAGTATGTTATGATTAAAGGTATCGAAAGCTTTTGACAGATCAATGAAAACTCCTAAGGTAAAGTAGTTACTATTGAATGCATTTGATATTTGATTTACTAGTTCAACCACTGCATGTTCCGTTAAATTTTTTTTTTTGAAACCAAATTGTTTTGAATACAACATTTCGTTTTCTGATAAGTGATTAAAAAGCCTATTGTACATTATTCTCTCAAGTAATTTTGAAAAACAAGGGAAAATAGATATAGGCCTATAATTAGAAATATTTGAGTCATCTCCGGACTTAAATATTGGCGTGATTCGTGCAATTTTAAGCTTTTCAGGGACAATACCTGTTTTAAATGATACATTAAATATGTGAAATAACGAGGGTTCTATTATATTATATACTGATTTTACAACATTGACGTTAATTTTATTAAATCCAGCACTTTTGTTAGTTTTAAGGTAAAAAAAAGCGGTTTGCAATTTAATTAGTTTTAACTTAGGTTCATCCATAACTTTATCGTAATTTTTTAAAAAAGATTCAAATGGTGTTGAATTCATAGGAATTTTTAATGCCAAATTCTGACCAGCATTAGTAAAGAAGCTGTTTAGTTTTTCAGCAATAATTGATTTATCATAAATTGTGTTTTTATCAATTGTTTCTTTTTGGAAGAATGTTTCTTGGATAATTATTTTTTCCGATTATTTCTTTAATTACACTCCATGTTTTTTTAACGTTTCTGGTGGCTTTACTTAATAGTTTTGCATAATAAAGCTTTTTTGAGTTCCTTTTTGTTTTTTCAAATATATTTTTATAACTTTTATATGTCATTTCGTTTTTATAAGTTTTTTTTTCAAGTACTTATCATATAACTTTTGTTTTCTTTTTGAAGATTTTATTAACCCGTTAGACATCCATGGAGTTAAAACAGTTTTGGTTTTTACAATAATTTTTTTTTCAGGAAATGCTTGATCATATTGCTTATAGAATTGATTTAAAAATAGATCATATGCGCTGTTAACGTCATGTGACTGCAATACCAGATCCCAATCAACGTTGTCTCTTAAAAGATTTTGAAATTGTTTTACCGAGTTTTCATTGATCTGTCGCCTAAATGTAATGGATTGAGAAGGAACACCGTTAAATAATATATTGTTAGTAACTAGGAATGTTGGAAAATGATCCGATAAGTCAGTTTTGATTATGCCTGTGTAAAGATGGTTATTATGATAGTTATTAGTTATTATATTATCAAGAAGCGTAGAAGAGTTGTTAATCACTCTCGTTGGTTTGTTTATTGTCGGAATTATTTTGAAGAGTGTTTACAAAATTGAATTTTGAAGAGTGTTTACAAAATTGTTAACATTATTATTGGAAGCATGGTTTTTTAGGTCAATGTTAAAATCCCCAACTAAGTAGGCATGACTTCGGGTTTTATTTATACTTGTTAAGAATGGTTTAAGATGAGTTTTAAATTTTTTTAAGCTAGTAGATGGAGGTCTATATGTGGTATTTATAATTACTTTTTTTGTGGTTTTATTTATTAATTCAATGCATAATGACTCACAATCTATTTCATTCACACAGAGATCATTACGTAAATTATAATTATTTGAGTTGTGGACAAAAATACTTACGCCCCCACCAATACCAAAATGACGTGGTTGATGAATTGATTTGTAATTAATTAGTTCAAATTGCGCATTTGTTTCACCACACTTACACCAAGTTTCCGTAAGAC